ACAGGTACAGGTACAGGTACAGGTACAGGTACAGGTACAGGTACAGGTACAGGTACAGATCCAGGCACAAATTATTTTTCTTAAATATTATGGAATTTAATTTGCCTAACATGATGGATGATGCACGAACAACAAGAAGAAAATGGAAATTTAGAAAACAGAAATGTCAAAATACTTGCAGCTGATATTATTTAATTTACAGAATTTTGTTCAAATTTAGATTTGAAAAATAAAAACGATAACAACCTAAAATTTTCAGGATTAATAAATGGATTATTTTCTTTTCCTCCTACACGTAGAAATTGTTATACAAGTGATGAATTTAAACCACAGTATTATAATACGGTATTTTTATTAATGATAATGAATATGATACTATTTATAATAATGATAATGATAATAATAAAAATAAAAAGGCGATAGCACTAAAAAAATTAAATTATTGTCAACATATCAATAATATTAAAAAGATTAGTGCTAAAATTAGCCTAAATAAATTTTTTTTTAAATATTTCGAATAATAAAGAATATTATTTGTCTGCTAAGGACTATGGATACAGTTATGATATAGCGACATGTATGTATGATTCAGTAGTTAGAAAAATATTAAATGAATGTAAGTGTGAACCAACCTTTGCATCTGGAATTAATCAGGTCAAAACTTTTTTTAATCTAAAAAAATTTATTTTGTACAAATTCTACTTTTCCATTTCCTGTGTGCTTGTAAAAAAATAAAATATCATTGGTATTGATTTTTTTCTTCAGTCAAACAAAAAACACTCACTTGGTGTTTTGAAATAATTTTGATATTAATATTCTCCAACAAAAGGTTAAACCACCTTTGACGCAAATATTGTTACGCCTGTACGAACTTTTTTTTGTCTGTTTTGTTATCTTTATTATTCCCAGCAACCTTAAACTGTCACCCCCCCCCCCCAAAAAAAAACGCCATTAATAGAACAAATTCAGGACAAAAAAAGATTATATTTTATGAGTTTCCGGTCGTCTTTACAGTCTCAAACTTTGTGGCTAACCCTGTAGGAAATGTCTCGAAGTATTTTTTATTTAAATTATGTTTATTTTCAGAGTTTCCCTGGTGGTACATGGTTAGAGAGCTGCAGGGGAAACGGTCTTATCTGTCAAAAGGTTTCGTTCGAATTTAATTCAAATTCAAATTACAGAAACCAGGATTTAGTAGTTTGGACCCGCCTTACCAGAGTTGGGAACTTTTGTCTTGGTTTCTCATAATCTCGCTATCCACATTGGGCACTTTTAATTTGACTCTTGACTTCACTTAAAGTTATTTCTCTTAAGACTAAAGCTCCCTTTAACCTCTGACTGGGCAAGATTACTATGCGGGATACCGAAAAAAAGGTTAAATTAATCTGCAGATTAACAAATAATCGAGATCAAGCATTGATCTCGATATCTGGAAAAAGTTCCAAGCTAAGGATGAGTTGTTTTGATTATTTGGCACGAGGGTTCTATGTGCAACAACTTTTTTATTAAATTTCATGAAAATTTCACCTAATTTTGCTAAACATTGTCTTAAATAATAATACAAATATGTTTTTATGTTAATTATCAAAAACCAGCCGTTGATTTAGCGCAATTATCAATGATGAAGGTAAAAGTCATAAACACAACCATGCCATAATGTATAGTTTCCGATTTTTCTCACTTCTTTAATTTTTGTGACACATACCTCTGATTGATATAAATCGGTTGGAAAAAAATATAGATTTCAAAATTGTAAATGTTTTTTTTTAAATGAACCATGGTAAGCTCTAAGTTCTGCAATGTCTAAAAGAGCGTTTTTGGAACACCCTGTATATATATATATATATATATATATATAGGATTGGACAGGTAGATGGGGATACGACTCAATGGGTCTTCACAAAACACTCAATACTATCACAGGCGAACATACAGAGTGTACTCAGGGATTCATATAAAATATAATTTTTTTTAAACGAAAAAATTCATTTATTCCTGAAAAATTTAGATTCTTTAAAAATTGCATTTAGTCGAACTATCAAGACATATTAGTAAATCTAGAGGAAAATTCAAGAAAGAAAAAATATGAAATCTGTCTGAAGGCCTGCGATTATCAAACTGAACAGCTTCTGATATCGCAAGGCCTGTACCCAAGCAAATATTCTCTTTCTCTCAGGTTCACTTTATAACTTTGTTATTTCGTTTTATTATTTTAAAAAAATGTCCATTTCAGACAAAATTCGTTTTGCAATATAGTTCTAAAAGTTCGTGATGAGATATGTGCGGTAAGTTGAATTTAAAAACATCTCTCTTAAAAATGCCGCAAAAAAAATAAAATTTGAAATAATAAATAATAATAGTTTTCGCCACTATTTATTTTTTGTAAAGTATCTGTATCCTAAAAATATAGCAAGAGAGGTTGCAACTTAACATACAACTTAGGAAATTACCCCGCATGAAACTAGGATTAAAAAATCACCAAAACGGATTAAATGTTTAACCACTTCAAGAATAAAAGATTTTTTTCCGAAATAATTTTTATATCTTCATCTTTGCACAGAAACAAATCAAAGAGAATATTAATATTCAATTATACTATAGCCAGGGAGTATGGAATAGAAGGGAGATATAACTGACGCTGTTCGCCCTACCATATGATTATACTTGCTTTGCAGACGGGTACTTCATTTGAATAAGAAATATTTGTCTGATTTACATTTTCTGCGTATACAATAACCTTTTCTGAATATTTCATATACAAATGGAGTATCCGTCTGCAAAGCATGTAGAATGATATGGTAGGGCGAACCGCGTCAGTTATATCTCCCTTCTATTCCTTACTCCCTGATTATAGCTCCTTAGCGTTTCATAATTTTAATGGTTTGATTGCAACATTCTATTTAAGAATGAGTTTCGGAGGAGAAGTTTTGAGCACGAAAATATTGGGGAGTGTGCTAAATACCAGAGATATCCTAATCTCTGCAAGGCAAGTCATGAATAAAAAAAATATGCATCGAAATTTATCTATCTTTGCAACCCAATGTCGTAGACCATTTATATTTTCAAAACATGAATTATGTTAGATCAATTTAATAATTTTGAAATATTAAAGGTTTACACCATCAAGATTAGAAAAATTGAGTTTGCATTTGTATTTTTAACAACTTAATATAGTTCTAAAATTGTTGAGAGATCAAAACTTTTATGTCGTGAATCCTGGGATTAAGCATTCCAGCAATTTAAAATGTGTCACAGTGGATATCATGTACAAGCGTAGTAAGTTAGCGCTATTTCACTTAAAAGCTTTTAACCCTCGGACTCATTTTAAATATGAAGAATTTACAACTTACAAAACCCACAAGAAAAATTTCATGATTAAAAAAAATATATATGTACGTATGTTATCTCCATAGGACTAATGGTAATGTATAAACTAAAGAATTTTTTTTGTGAACACCCTCGTTTGTTTTCATTTTAGATAGTCATTCATCTCGGACAACGGATCTTTCAAGGGATTGTAAGAGTAATTTCAAATGACCCTTGTCAAAGAAGGCAATAGCCGATTTACAATGGTACACTTAAAAACTTTGTCTGCTCAAGTATGAATTAGATATCCATATCTTTTTTTTTTAAATTGGTTTCAGCATTTCTGGCTTATGAAAAACACTGGAGGAAATTACAGAATATAACACTTTTTGAGCCGTAAAAACGACGATCATTTCCAAATTTTTGATCTGATTATGGTCTAATGAGAACCGTTGTGAATCGGACATTGTCATCTTAACAGTCCCTTTAAAATAAAAAAAAAATGACTAAAGACAACATTTATGCGTTAAGCTCAAATAGGTCAGAAGTTGAAACTAAGACGACTTTTGTAATTGTCACTGAATTTGAATTCAGAATAATATCATGGTTATTTTTAGAATACAAGTACTTTTGAGACCACAGAACTGGATCAAGTAAGTTTATAAACCAACATGATTTATAATAAGTTGCCTCAAACTCTAATGTTCAGACACATCTTTGCGAGAATGATCCAACATTAGGTTAAACACACATAACAAATGTTTTCTAATATTTCAACAAAATGTTTACAATTTTGAAACTCTATGTTGTTGAACGGAATTGCGCAACAATTAATTGCATTTATTGCGCTCCATTACGTTTAAATTGAATATTCTCAAAAATTGAAACACAAGCGCAAAATAATTGGACGGAACTGCGCACTATGGCAAGTAATTGCACGCAATTCCGTTGCATTTTTTTCACACAATTAATTGCGCGCAATTAAATTTACTCGCGCGGAAGGGCTCGCAATTGCGCCCAAGTAAAATCAAATTGCGTTGGAAACCCTATATACAGGATATACTTGATGCAGTGGCAGTTTACTCAAAGAAAAATATCGCTTCTGTGAAGGTAAAAGATCTATTTTTTACTATTATTTAAATATTGAAGATAAGGTTAATAGGACTGTGCTTTATAGAACGTTCTGTAACATTTTATGACAGAGTGCAAGAAGCTGATTCACAACAGTACCCTGTAAATCTATTTTAAACAAAAGTCGATTTCCAAGAAGATTTTTTTTGTAAACCAGTGAAAGGTTTCTAGTTTTAACTTGCTGTAAAAATCTGCGAAACCCTCTAATAAGAAAATTTGTATCACCCTTTCTCGCATGAAACACTTTATAAATTGCAAAAAATCATGACATGCTTCTATTATGTATAAGGGTGTATGTATGATATATATATATATATATATATAGCCATTAAAGATAAACGAAAGCCTTTAAGTCGTCTTTCACCTGTAATGTTTAATGAACCAAACTGTATGTTGAAAAAAACTTGTTGTTAAATTCCTGAAATGCTTACATTTTAAGTCACTCTTCCTTACTTTTTTTTTGGCGACTTAATAGGCGAATAGTTTTTTTTGCAATCTTAGTTTTTATTGTAATTTATTTTCCTTTTTGGTTTTTAATTATGTAAATATACAATTGAGTATTTTTAGATTTTTATTGGAGAAACATACCACACACAGCTATACAGGTCTTTTTCTATAAATCTCTATATTTATTCAGCCCGCACAATTTTGAAGACCTTAGATATTTCAAACTATGAAGGCCTGAGATATTTCAAACTATGTACACCTTAGGTATTTCAAACTATGTAGACCTTAGATATTTCAAACTATGTAGACCTTAGATATTTCAAACTATGTAGACCTTAGATATTTCAAACTATTTAGACCGTAGATATTTCAAACTATGTAGACCTTAGATATTTCAAACTATATAGACCTTAGATATTTCAAACAAACTATGTAGACTTTAGATATTTCAAACTATGTAGACCTTAGATATTTCAAACTATGTAGACCTTAGATATTTCAACTATGTAGACCTTAGATATTTCAAAGTTCAAACTATGTAGACCTTAGATATTTCAAACTATGTAGACCTTAGATATTTCAAACTATGTAGACCTTAGATATTTCAAACAATGTAGACCTTAGATATTTCAAACTATGTAAACCTTAAATATCTAAAACTATGTAGACCTTAGATATTTTAAACTATGTAGACCTTAGAAATCTCAAACTATATAGACCTTAGATATTTCAAACTATGTAGACCTTAGATATTTCAAACTATGTAAACCTTAGATATCTCAAACTATGCAGAACTTAGATATTTCAAACTATGTAGACCTTAGATATTTCAAACTATGTAGACCTTATATATTTTAAACTATGTAGACCTTGTATATTTTAAATTATGTAGACTATAAAAGGCAAAACGGGCCGGACAGCACACCAAATGAATTAGTACCTTTGAGAGAGATTCTAGTGTTGTAAATGAATTTGTCCCTTTGAGGGAAATTTTAGTGTTGTCACTAATATTTTTTTTGAGAAATATTTTGTTGTTAGAACCAAGGCTATTACAGAACTTCAGATGTTGGGAAATGCTGGCGGTCTGATAGGTATATATAGTTACTTTTGATTTATTTTGAAAAACAATGAGTTGATTCCAAAGTTAAGGCTCAATTGAATCGATTGAACAAAGGTTGTATAATAAGGTTTATTACTTTCGATGCTCCCCAATGTACGGAAAACGTCGTCTCCTAAGATAGATAGGTAAAATTCTCAGATGACGTCACTCTCGCCTATATAATCAGTGACGTCATATGAGGTTTTTATCAATTTATCTTAGAAGACGACATTTTTCGTTGAAGCGCGTGGAGATTAATCAAGCTTATTATACAACCTTGGTGAAAACTGAGCTGGGAACAGCTTTGTGTCTGATATCTGACTAAGTCTAGAAATTAAGCTACTGAACTCGACCGCCCTCAAACGGATAAATTTCATTTTAAGATACAACATTTGACAGGCCAAGAAATGTTTATTGCAAGGTTTTCAGTAATAATTGCTTCAATCAGCTGAAAATTGACCCTCTAAAAAAAAGTTAAAAATATTGTTTTTTTAAAGTAAAATATGTTTTCTAGGTTTGTGCATTGGATTCTCAATGATCTCAATAATAGAAGTGTTCTACTATTTCTTAACCTCCATCACGTCTCTTTGTAATCGTAATAAAATGAACTAATTCATATCAATAAAATATATTTGATTTAATATATGTAATGAGTAATGATCAATGTCGTCTATTTGTGCATAATTTTGTATATTTTTCTCTTTTCGTTTGGAAACCTGTATTTATTTAAACAAATTTAAACTGCACCATTTAAATCTTTTTAATAATATTGTAACATTATTATACCGAATGTCTCTAAAATCTAAAAAAAGATTTTGTGAGAATATTTAAAACGTCTAACTTTAAAACTTTATGGAAGGGAGGAGGTTTAAAAAATTGGCGTGTTTAGTATAAGTTTTTAAATAGTAATACAAATATGAAATGTTGGCTGGATTTCGGAATCTGATAATGATGTCGATCAGTATTTATTCAAGACTAAATAAACTAAATATTTATCAGAAATTATTTATAAAAAAGGAATCCTCTAAACTTGAACGTTTGTCAGCTCTCGAACTACTTCTAGCGAGACTAAGGAAATCCTGAAAAACAACAGTGTGTGTATGATCATTGGAAATAAAAGACGACCTAAAATCGTCTTTCTTATTCGATAGTTAACCAATGAATCAAAAATGAAGAAGGTAGATACAGGATGTCCCAATAAACATGGGACTTAAATGACGAGTTCTGTATCGTCTTTGTTCCATGCAGGATTATTTCGTAAACATAATTTTGTAGTATCAATTTATCAATTATTGGAAATCAAAGACGATATTCCTGTCGTCACTCATGTTTATTAAGACACCCTGTAAATAAAAGCTTGATCTAAAGTTCTCACTTCTGTTCATATGAAAATATAAAAATAAGGAAAGAAGAGGTGCGAAGCTCAGGGGCGTATTCAGGAATTTGTCCACGGGGGGGGGCTTACATTTTTTTTCTCTTTCCAGGGGGGGGGGCTCAACACCCGTTGGGGCCTGAAAACCCCCTAAATTCAATAGATTTCTCTGGTCCAGGCGGGCTTAGCCCCAATAGCCCCCCCCCTGAATACGCCTCTGGCGAAGCACTCTTGTTACCTGAAGATCCTGGTCCAGGTTGGGTGCTGAGTATATCCGACGATGTTGGAAATTATACTTCTTGTCATATTTAATAAATCTAAAATATACGGGGCTGTTAACGTAATTTTAAGTGACTCTCCGAGGATATTGAATCACCACGGTTATATTCTTTAACACTTTATCCGATCAAGGATGAATAAAATTATCTAAATTTTTGCCTTGAAATTTGTTGTTTTCCATTTCATGGTTTCTGTACAGATGTAGGAAACTAAAAGATACCAATACTTTTTTCGGTTAGAAAAACATAGATATCTTCCCTATATCTACTTTTTGTTAGAAAGTGTATCCTGGTGGCTTTTCTGGCATCAAATACGATTAAAGATAAAAGTTTCAAAAAACTTAAATTTTTTATAAAAAATTTCTTTAAAATTCTAAAAGTTTTATCAGTGTGTTTTGAATTTCCCGCAAACAAACCTTAATTTATTTATAAGAACTATAGAAAAATATCAATATTTTGTTTAAACAGTGCGATACTGCAAATTAAAAATTCAAAGTTATAAAGTCTCAATTTAAAGCTTTAACTTTTACCTAATGTTAGTTTTCCCACCATCAATGGCACTTTTAACTAACTGCTCGCCTAAACATTTATTTAAAATTTCTACTTAAGAGCTTTACAAAAATGGAAAACGACACCAATAATAGGATAAAATGCAGTTTTTATATTTTATTTTATAAGTTTTAGTTTTCCATTAGACCTTAAAATCACAATGTGGACGATGTTAAGCTAAGTCTATTAGTCCTAGACTCAGCAGCAGATCCAATACAAAATAATATAAAAATACTGTAAATAAAATGCTAATAATCATCATTGAGAACAGCATTAATTACGTAGCTTAAACTTATAACCGTATTCTAAAGTAAATTTGATATTTAACCTAATCTGGCGGGAACAATTCTGTCGTCTTCCGAATGGAGAGCAAGCGTGGGCACTGTGATGTTCAGGAGATAATTTGATGAACGGAACTCGGCATCTGCACATTTCAACTCAGCTGACACATTCTCAAGAGACACATAGTTACTTTCTTAATCAAAATTTTATTGAGCATTTTTGATCTTATAAAATTATCTTGAAACAAATCGCTCATTAACTTACCAGATTTAACCATGAGATCATAGCCCAACCTAACTTAAAATAACCCGTTCATTAACTTACCAGATTTAACCATGAGATCATAGCCCGACCTAACTTGAAATAACCCGCTCATTAACTTACCAGATTTAACCATGAGATCATAGCCCGACCTAACTTAAAATAACCCGCTGATTAACTTACCAGATTTAACCATGAGATCATAGCCCGACCTAACTTGAAATAACCCGCTCATTAACTTACCAGATTTAACCATGAGACCATAGCCCGACCTAACTTGAAATGCTGAACCATATCTTCCATTGTAGTAAAAGAAGACTCAAGAACTAGGCCACTAATGGGATATTCTGAATCAAGAACACTGGATTAATAATCTTAAAAGAACAATGATAATAATAAAAATGTACTTACTGTCAAGTCCTTGCCATTGATTGGTTGTTATTGTAGCAATGGAAGTGCCAAGTGAGTGCCCCCACACGATCAACAAAGGCCCACCTTTCATTTGACTACTGCACAAAAAAAATTAAATACAATAATTATTTATTTCTAAGGAGCTTACCTTGAATCTTTAAAGAAGCTTGCTGCCCATGTTAAAACATTTAGACCATCAGTGACTACAGTTGTTTCACTAGAAAGGAAGCTGGTTATATATTTTTTCGCGAAAATTTTTTCCGAAATGCGAAATGGGAAAATTTTCGCATTATTCTTTGCAATAAATTTTCGCATTATTTTTTCGAATTTTCTATTTCGTGAAAATTTCGCATTTTTTCGCGAACAATTTCGCATTTTTCGCGAGCGAACGAAATGCGAAAATAAAGCAAAATGGTCGCGCGAAAAATGCGAAATTTTCGCGAAACGATTTATCCTTTTCGCTGGAAACCCTAATCATGTCTCAAACTCGTATTTTCTAAACCCTAAATATCTGTGCAATTTGTTGGTGTAAAGCTTTGATATTTTAAACTTCCAATATTTGATCTAGCAGAATTCAGAATTTGAAATCACTGTGATTCTTAAATATGAACGCAAATATCCAGGAGAATTTTTCCGATTGCTACTTCAAAACTCAAGCTAAAACAACCGCAGTGAAGTTTTGAAATATGGGTTACAGATGCTTGGCAGAGATACTGTCCTAACCTCACCTAACCCTGATGTAATACAATTTTTGTTCGAATATATATTTATCATTTATATTTGTCTAAAGCAAAATTACATTAAACAATATAAAAGTTTACAAACTAATACTCTTTTCTCTGGATATCGCATTTTAAAATTGACAGGGTCTGCCAAAAAAGGTGCAATACAAGACTTTTAGCATGAGTATAGTTTAGCTATTCAGAGGTGGTTTTCAGAAAAGGGGTTTCTTGGTCCCAGTCTAGTGTTTTTCGTTTTCTAAAAATGTGGTATGATGACAGTACAGCAAGGCTTGATAGATTTTCACACATTGCTTTGAAACTAAAACTGGGTTTGCAGAACTTATGCAGTTTCTTTAGAATCGCCTTATTTGATGGTGAGATATATCCTCTTGAGCCGATTTCAAAAGGATGAACAGACACATCCCTAGTTGTTATATCTGTAATAAAATGTTCATACTTGTTCATCTTTTGAGCGTTGGCATTTTTGATATTTGTTTCCAATGGGACAGTAAGCTCAAAAATATCCATCTTTTCCTCCATTCTATCGATAATTACTAGATCTGGTTTCTCTGTGGTCACAAGGAGGTGGAGGGGAACAGTACCTACCCCTGGAAGGGTATGGGACGGGATGTCGGCATACATCAGAAATCGGTCAATATCAATTAATCCAGTTATATATTTAATAAGATTGTTGTGCCTCCAAGTATATCTTTTTTGGTGTAGTGCAACCTTGCAGCCATTCAAAATATGGTTTGTAGTATCTTGTCTTCCACCTTGCAATTCAGCGCCTGCCTGTAGACATAGTTTACAGAGATCTGATGCAGATTTTCCCCATTGTAGAATGAACATAAAAATAGTTCAATTCTAGGTATTACTTTAGGGCTAGGTTAGGTTAAGAAACTTTATGGTCTGAGCGCTGCGGTTAGTAGTTCAAATGTACACAAAAAATAGTTCAAATTAACCAAAAGTCAAATGACATGTTCAAATGAACAAACTGTTGGTAATTTAATCTTTTGTAATTTATACGTTTTGTAAGGATATGTTTTGTTAATATATAATTTGTGATCATATTTTTTGTAATTTTATCTTATGTTACTGAGCCAGACACAGCAACTGTGCTGTGTAAAAAACCTATTTTAGTTAATACGTGATTTAATAAGCTACTGTAAAAACAGTTTGCTCTGAAACAACTTCAAATACACTTAATTGTTAATTTAATGTCGTTTTCCACAGTTTTCTGGTTCTCACTGAACACTTTATTAATTATGTGACATCGTCCTAAGGCTAAGGTGTTGCAACGCTTAAAAGTGGATGCGCACTTTTCAGCATAATTTTCCTAATTATCTAGGTATATCGAAGGTTTACAACTTCAAGATATATTTTGACATCAACTTTTTTTACGAAGCTTATTTTATCTAGAAATAGCCAGCGAAATAAGACAAGTATAATACTAACGTTTCATAAAATTACATATACCACTATTATTTTGGCAAGATTTTATTTTAGATTATTTAATATTAACAAAATTGTATCTAAAAAGGAGAGAATCTTCTAGAGATAAAGAGGAAATTTCTGTCCAAAGACTTTATACAAAAAGAATAGAATATATATAGGAGAGGAATTTAGACAATCCCTCGGTATGAATTTTTTTCAGTCCCTTTCACCCTGAAAGGGAGTTCAAAGTGTACAAACCATGTAAATGTTCACAAATTATAAGCAGTAGAGTACATTAATACAGTATGTTCCCTTGACTATCCATTTCAATTTCGAATTTTTTAAAGCTGTTTAATAAACTTTATAATGAATAAGGCGAATAAAAACCATCATTTGATTTAAAGTTATAACGGAAAATCATCGTTTGTGAAGTAAAAGGCATAGATTCTATGTGAAATAATCATTGGTCAATTATGAAACCAGCCTATTTCATAATTTGGTTTTGGTTTTCTTTAATATTAATTTTAGATTTTCTATAAAATGATGTTCCAGGACCCAAAAGGTTATATAGCACGAATATGTGAAGTACACCTGCAGTATGGAAACAGTACAACAAAATGGCCGTTTTACACTTTTTTTTTAGTAAATTCCACTCTAATATATATTCTATTCTTATTGACTTTATAACACTGCGAACCAAAATAATAGTCTTATAAATAGTTAAAGAAGTAGAAAAATAGAGTTTTAGGCGAGAAATCTGGAATTTTTTTATTTTAATTTTTAATTTATTTAAAATTTTTATTATTACCTGAGTTCGACATTTGTAGAATCTCCAAACCCTCGGTAGTCGAATGAAAGAACGTAGAATCCCAAATTGGTTAAAAATCTGGAAATTAATGAAAGGTTAGCTGTTTTGTCTGGTTTTCTGTAAATTTAGAGGATTTAATCAATTTTTTCGTATAATTGTAACTTTTCTTTATGATTAGATCTTTTCATAAAAATAAATATAAAATAATTTAGAATCCTTGAAATAAAAAGAAAAAGGGGGGAAATAAGGTCATTCTTAACAGAGTTAATCATTAAAAATGTATATTCAAGTGACCTTCTACAGGGTGTTCAAATAAACACGAGAATTAAATGACGACTTCTATATCGTCTTTGTTCCATGCGGGATTTATTCGTAAACATGGTTGTATGGCCGTTATCTCGGGATTTCCAAAATGCGGTCCACCATTTTATTACCTTCAAAATTGACAAAGATATTCGGAAATTAGTCTAGATTCAGCCTTATGTAAACTCAACAAAACTTTTCAAATGTTTAATAGGGTATCATGTGTCTTTAAAATAAGTAAACAATCCTTATTATGAAGGATAGCTCCATGAAGGATAGCTCCATGAAGGATAGCTCCATGAAGGATAGCTCCATGAAGGATAGCTCCATGAAGGATATATCCATGAAGGATAGCTCCATGAAGGATAGCTCCATAAAGGATAGCTCCATGAAGGATAGCTCCATGAAGGATATATCAATGAAGGATAGGTCCATGAAGGATAGCTCCATAAAGGATAGCTCCATGAAGGATAGCTCCATGAAGGATAGCTCCATGAATGATAGTTTCATGAAGGATAGCTCCATGAACGATAGCTCCATGAAGGATAGCTCCATAAAGGATAGCTCCATGAAGGATAGCTCCATGAAGGATAGCTCCATGAAGGATAGGTCCATGAAGGATAGCTCCATGAAGTATAGCTCCATGAAGGATAGCTCCATGAAGGATAGCTCCATGAAAGCTAGCTCCATGAAGGATAGCTCCATCTAAAAGGCTGTGTTGGAGTAGGGCATTTACCACAGCTATACCTGTAAAGCTCGAGCCTATGACCAAAGCCTCTAGTAGCACTATTTCCATGCATATATATAATCAGGGTGTCCTGTGGTCCTAGGTCAGATATATCGGTCATAGAGGATCCAACAGGCCAGAGAAACCAAGCCCCAAGGCTTCCATTAGTAGTTGGGATTCTAAAGATGAAAACAGTCTATTAATATTTACATTTTGTATAGGTTATTAATTAAAGAATAATAATATTGTTTTTTTTATTATTTGCTCTACGGTTGAATACAATTTTAACAAACACTTTAATGTCGGGATTTGTCAAACCAACATTGGCCGTCTTTATTGGCAAAACCCAGATGTTATTGTATGACGTACAAAACATACAATTGGAGGTGTGTTGTCCAATAGGCAGGGGGAAATTATTATGAATTAAACCAGAAAACTCTGGAATAGGAAAACAACATTTATACTTAATTGATTTAATAATTTACTTGTAAAACTGTTTGCTTTGTTACAACATCAAATACACTTATTTATTGCGTTAATGTCGTCTTCCTCATCCACAGTTAAGGTTTTCATTGTAGTTATTATATAATTAATTTATGTTTTTGGTTAAAGATATTTCAAGTAAAATTTATATAATTTTGGAGAAGTAAATACAGATTTGAAGATAGTTTCATCTTTGAAATAAATTTCTGAAATTACTAGCCCTGTAATTTTAAAACTGATATTTCTGCCTTAAAATACAAATAATTTCGTTTAGATTAAAACGATTTGTTTTAATTATTTCATAAATTATTTCTTAATATCTTCGTTAATTTTAAAAGCACAAAAAAAGGCAGACCTCAATTTGAAATGTCAAGAAGTTAAACTTGTAAAAGTAAGTTGACAAATTATTGCCGCAAACTATTTCAAAGATCAAAGACGATCTTCATCAAGTCTTTTAATATTTTTCTAAAAAATATACACATATACATGAAAATAAAAATACATAAGATACTAGATGAAGGGCCCAGCGCTGCCTGTGAAAAAAGTAAAAATAAAAAATAAAAAAATTTTAAAAAATTGAAAATTGAAATTTTTACCTGATATTTTTCCCGTTTTGGATTCCATAAGATGATGGCTTTGCAAGATCTTTGAACAAATTAAAAAGACCACTCCTGGTAGAAATAAAATATTAAAAAATGCATGTTACATGTATGTATATAGGGGTGTATGTATGTATGTATGTTATTAGGGACTGTCGACACAATTCAAAGTGCCCCTTTTTTTAAAATCAACAACGGTCCCTTTAAATCTTTGTGTGTCAGGCAAGGTTTTATAATAAGTTAGGTTACTCTGGATGTGCACCGATGTAGGAAAAAACGACTTTTATAACAATGGACACTCTATATATACCTCGCATGACGCCACTGCTTATTTTAAAGAATAATAAATTGAAAACTTGAATTAGAATTGCATTCTTTAGCTTCAAACTAGATAGTACAATCAATATTTGTTAATTGTGATGATTTTTAATATTATTGACGTCATATTAGGTATTAAAGGGTTCATTGCTACAAAAGTCGTCTTTACCTACATTAGAGCGCATCAAGAGTATGTAACCTTATAAACATCCTTGGTGGCAAGTGGGTGGAGAGAAAACAGTGAAATTTTCACTATTCACTTTTTTGCTTTTAATCATTTAATCTTGCTGATGTTTGTATACTTGCAACCAAGCTATTATACTTAAAAATGCATTGAAAATTTTTAAGAGATATAATTATTGAAAATCTTAAACTCCTTCACGATAGAGTAAAATAAAAACAACCTTTTATTCAAAATTATCTATATCTCACTCTACCATTGTCATGCTATAAAATATACAGAGCTACCCACAAGGTAAATAAACTTGGAATCAACCATGAACAAAAATACTTTAAAAATGCTGAACTCTCTCATTCAAAACAATGGTGTTAGGTATTTTCCCACGGGCATTTACACAAGGGCGAATTTCCCAAATGGCAAATTCCCAAAGGGTAGGTTCTGACCTTCTGAGGCTGTAAAAAGGGCCTAGCGCTGCGGCTAGAAAGGACAGGGAGCCAAGCGCTATGGCTATAGCATGATAGGGGTCTAAGCGCTGCGGCTATAGTATGATAGGGGACTAAGCAATGCGGCGAGGAAGGACAGGGAACCAAGCGCTGCGGCTATAGCATGATAGGGGACTAAGCGCTGCGGCTAGGACACACTTGAAAAAGTTGTCGCTGAGAAAATTGCACATTTTGGAACTTGCCACGTGGGAAAATACCCTTAAGAAGTTGCCGTTTGGGAAAATGGCTTTGGGAAGATACCAACATCCTCAAAATCACTTTTTTCACCGCTATGTACAGGAAAGCGTCATGCTTCACAACTTTTTCACACAAAACAACTTCTGCGTAGAGGAGAGTATTTTAACAGAAATATCATATTAAGAAAAATAACATATCATTATATACTTTACAAAAATAAAACACTGCAACACAAACCTTAAAAGAATTCGATCGTTGACAACAAAAGCAGTCTCACAGAAAAAGAAACGAGGCATTTTTTCTTTTGAAAAGTAATTATGCATAAAAATTATATTTCTAAAATATATTTTATAAAAAAAAGCATGCAGCACACTATACCTGATTTTGTACCTTACTATAGGTAAGAATACGACAGTTCTTATAAACCAAGGAAATTTCCCACATTTTCTCTCCTGAAGCAAAAATTTTTGAGAATTTGTTTTTTTAGGTAAAGACATGAAAGAATTTTTTTATTTGAATTTTAGGAAAAAGATATGATAAAAATTATATTTTCAGTAAGCCAGCAATTTATTTTAATCTTCTTGTTATAGAAAGATTATTAACATATGATCATTTTAAAATATCTTTGTTTAAGATAAATAAATACTAAAGAGTTGTTTTATAATACTGCATATAGTGTTGTAAAACTTTTTGGTGTATTTTTGCATATTTCATACTAGTTTTGATTTTGTTTTTTAAAATTATATTTAGCTTACAACTTGTTTTCGAACATTCCTGGAAAATATCATTACCAAAAATCCTCGAATCAGGAATAAATGTTTTTATAAGTAACTCTCAGATCATAACAATTAAAACATATTATGAAAAATCAACTATATACAAATGTGGCGAAAGATCGATGACTATAGGTTGTAATATCTGAATGATTTATTTGAAATTAAATTGATTTTTTTACGGTCTAAGTCGTATGTTGCAATTATCTCAATTTGTATGGACGCCATGTTATTCGGTATGAGACGTCTTTAACAATTTTTTCCTTATAGACGCAAGGCGACAGATAGAAGTAAGATTAGTAGCGATCCAAAGCGCTTTTTTATCGCATTAAGCCTATACCCCCTTTATTTTTTCGCGAACACTCCCTTTAAGCTTGCTATCTTGGAAATGTTTAAACTGTATTGGTTATATACCTTTATATTTCGAGCTGAAATGTCCTCCATAAAGCTGAAAAATGTATTTAATATTGAAAAAAAATATTAAATTGTTTTTTTTTTATCTATCAATTATTCACCTTTCGTCTATTCTTTCGTCTCCCTCTTCGTGGTCTTTTTCTTCTTCTTCTTCCCAATCTTCATCTTGAAACCACTCTTCTTCTTTTGTACTGATTCTATTTTCAACCTGATTTCCTACATACAGTGAGTCCGAATAAACATGAGAAAAGGGATTGTTCACTATAAACAAGGCGTTTCAAATCTACTGCCGAAAGCTTTAAAGTACTCTTTAAAAATAACAATAATCTGAACCAGAAAAAGTACAATTTTTTCATAATTTACAGAGAGTTTGTCTTTCTAGCTGGAAACAATATTCTGCTTATTTTAGATTTTCTTCCTTGTCTTTGTTGCATTAATCCGCAATGGAAAATTATCAACTTTATAAATAAAAAACAAGAATATCTCCTTTTTTCTCTGAAAAGGGTAAAAGGGTACTTTTGAATCGATCATTCATTTAATGAGAGGACAACAGTAGGTTTGAGATCTTTTATTCTTTTAAATCCATTTCGTGATTTATCTAATACATTTGAAATATGAAAAATTTACTTTTTTAAACCCCTTGGCCAACATGAAAAACTGAATTCTGGTTTATTAAGTTTTTCAATTTTCAAATTTAATAGAAAGAAACTATAATAACATAAATGCTCTAAAGTTTAAGAAATTCAAAAAGATGATAAAATTGGAAACCCAGCTTTGCTTGGAAACTAAACTTTACTTTAAACAAACGTCAACCAACTCAACTTAGAATTTTTAAACCAGGGCCGGGTAAGAACATTCCTTTCGTTCTACCTACAGGGTGTCCCACGAAACATGCAAGTTGGTGAATAGCATAGAATGTCTTCTTCCATATTTTGTTAAGTTATTTGATACCAAACAGAATAATACAAATATCACATGGCAGTCATATAATAGAAATATTTATTTCAATATTTGAGTAAAAGATTTTTTAACAAATATAACTGCGAAAAGTATTTAATATCTAATAAAGTAAATGGAAGAAGTCATTCAAAACTATTCACCACCTGTTATGTTTCGTAGTTCACCTGTAGTTCACCAATCAAAATTTGAGGATAAACGGCGAAGGAGTTCACAAGTCATGATCTGTCACAGAAACAAACAAACAGACAAACACCCAGAGAGACTAACAATCAAATATATATTTACCTTGATTTTTTAAAACAGGTTCTAGGGTGACTGTAAGAACGAAGGAAAAGAGCAGCAACCAGCGGAGCATTTTTGTCTATGAAATATAAAAAAATATACTTAGCTTGAGTATCTTTTCATTGTTTTTTTTGTATCCAACAAACGACAAAACGACTGAACCGATCGAGCCCAAAATTTTTGAGGCAACCACAGGGAATAACAAAAATTTGTCTCCAACAAATTTAGATTTTCGTAAAATTTAAAAAATCTACGAACAAAAAATAATAAATCCTTAACATTATTCCCCAGATACTGCCACAATTAAAGTTGAAATAGGAGATAGGCACGAAGCACACTAAACGCTAGGTATGTTTAATTTTTTGCTAAATTTGCATAACCCTAGTGTGCCAAGATGTCGTGTTTATATACAGTGGTAGGCGATAATATAAATATAATGAAGACGACTTTCGATATAAATTTTGATTTATATTAAGCTTTTAAATGTCAAGGCTACCCAAAGGATGGAAACAAAGAAAATATATCAATAAAAAAAGCTTCTCATTAATTACTTGTAAACTTGTAATTCGAAAAAAGCTTATAAACAATTAAAACTTCAATAAAAAAGTCATCTTCGTTATTTTGGTTTTATTCCTACCACCGTACATAAAAGGCTTGTGTGCAAAATATCTTAGCAAAACTTGTCCAATCTGCTTCCTATATATGTAATGAATGTATTGTAATGTATAGGTCTAGTAAATTTATAAGTAATTAATTTAAGGTAGAATAAGGCATTAAGGCAGTATGCTTGAAGATAACACTTTTTAATGACATTAATGACTTAATTTTCCTTGACAATGTGTCAGTTGGTTTTTTTTATTGTTTTTTTCTCTCGATTTTTTAGGACTTTTCCAATTGAAAGTATAAACGTAAAAATTATTTTCAACCTTAGGCTCAGGTCACTTTGTGTAAAAGTATCACTATAATACACATAAAAATTGCAATAAACGAAATCATATTTTTTAACATCAAAATTTTTTTTATTTTTTACAGACTAAAACATGAATATTTATGAATTATGGAACTTGTTTCATATTTCAATAAAAACTGTCTAAAAAGCAAGCCGAATCATCGTGCTTACAAAACACATGTTTTAAAACTATGTTATGCTAAACCTAACTGAGAATGTCAATGTTAAAAAAATTTTCGTATTAAATAGTCCTTTATTATATTGAAAAAATTTAACCATTTATATTTTTGCATATTAGTCATTTCAGGGTGAACGATAGTTTCTAAGTGCATATACTAATTTTAATAAGACAAACAAGTGATGTCTCATTAATAAATTTATAATGTTATAACGGAGGTTTAAATTTAAATTTCAAATGATGTTACAAAAGTTTTCAGCTCAACTCATTAAAAAATTGAAATTTAGTTTAATTTAATTAAAAATTATTGTTAAATATCGTATTTTCTGTGCATTAGCTGAGCATTATATATTATTTGTGAATGGTTCTGTTTATACTTTATACTCTTTGAATGAAAGTAGAAACGTTATAAAACATGATTTTTTTAGAACTGGATTTGACTAGAAAGATTTACATAGGAAGAAACATAGTAACTGTAAGCTTAATTTTAAGTGACCCTAAATGATACAAAATCTGGTTTGTGGAAGACTCAATTTTCTTATTGTAATTTAAATCTATAACATTTGAAACGTTTTTGGAAAGTCCTTGGGCTCTATTTTAATAATCTGCAAAATAATGTCAAATTTGCAAAAATAAAAATATTTATCTTGAAATCTAGATATTAAGCAAAAAATGTGCAAAAAATAATGCGCAAATTGCAACCAATTATACATTTTTGTTATAGGCTTTCCAAAAAGCTATAAAATGTTGAAATCCAATGACTGATAGTAGGTCTAAATACAGATTTGATCTGGTATACGTAAACATAAGGCATTTAAGCAGTATATGCCTGAGGACCCAGGCAGTAGGGGTATAAAAGCCCAGCTTTTAACCTTAAGTGAGGTGGGTGTGTTAGTTAGAAAAGCCAGAACATATGAGCTTCCTAGCTTAAAAACTTTTTCAGATTTCGCAAAAAAACTATAAGGGGGGGGGGAGCAAAAAATAGGGTTAAGAGGCTCTGCAATGTGTACATCCTTACGCAATAAAAAATGTATTTGCCGAATTAGTTTTTCTATTACTGAAGAAGTTTGTGGGGGATTGGTGAAAAAAACAATGGGGAAAAAATATAAGAAGAGGGGGAGGGGGCAAAATGAGCCTTCCCCCTCCTTTGAAGCTCTAAAACCTATGTCTAACCCTTCTCGGTGAAATCAATAAAACTGCTAAACTTTCATTTAAATTCTTAAAAGTTTAATTCATGTTCAAACTTTAATTCACCTTCAAGACTTAACTGAAATTATTGTACCACAAAGAATAAAAGAAAATTGTGAAAACGTGTAGAAAAGTTTCTTTTGTGTCCCAAAAACTTTTTTGGAGGATTTTTTGGCTCAGTAACATTTTGCCTAGTACAAGTTCGCCTAGTACACTTTCGCCTAGTACATGTTCGCCTACTAACTTTTTGTTAGATAACATTTTGCCTAGATTACATTTTGCCTGCACACAGTTTGCCTAGACAACATTTCGCCTAGATAATATTTTGCCTAGATAAAATTAGAGGGTAATTTTTGCCTAGATAAATTCACTATTTTTATTTCAAAAATTTCTAAAGTTCCTCTTTTTTCTCAAGAAATTCAACTAACAGCAAAAAAAATGTATTAAAATAATGTTTACAAGTTTTTTCTTAAAGGGCACTAGCTCACTGGAGATCATGAGCCAGCATTTTCAGATAATCAGTTTTAGGTATTGTAGCAAAAGCTTCCACAACCAGTTTAACCCTCTGTTTTGCATCCTTGGCTCTCTGCTTTCTGCCTGTATTATCAGCCATATCCTGGCCAACTGAATTAGAAAGAAATGCTCGTCTTGCATCAGCATCTTGTTTGACAAACTGGTCCGGAATGTGACAAACATTTGGACTGTACCCAGGTCCATTGGAGACATATGAGAAATGTTGATTATCAAATATGGCTGGTGTGCATCGTTTGGTTTTCCCTGCCTGAATTAAGGACGTCATGTCGACATCAATGTCAGTAGAAAACTGAATGATTTACACTACAAAAAAAAGTGAAATTTTTACAGCAAAAATTGTGTATTTTTTTTTGTTCCTAAAGCTGGTTAAATATCATTTGAAGAATGTTAATCTAGGCGAAAATTACTCTCTAATGTTATCTAGGCGAAATGTTGTCTAGGCAAACTGTATCTAGGCAAAATGTTGTATAGGCGAACTTGAACTAGGCGAACATGTACTAGGTGAAAGTGTACTAGACGAACTTGTACTAGGCAAAATGTTACTGAGCCGATTTTTTACCACAGATGGAATAATTTTCGTTCATTTTAGACCATCAAGGTGTCTGCAGTGAAAAAGACTTCATAGATTATTTATTTCAAGATTTAATTTTATTCTTTGTAGACTAAATATTTAATTTGTTGCAACAAACATATTTTTAAGAAAAAATCTAAAAGTAAAATTATTTTAAATTAATGTGATTATTTTTTCCTTCCTTTCAGATTCACTTAAAATCTTGTAATTTTCCGCTTGGTTAGAATTATGGGAATAATTAAAGATTTTTGATAAAAAAGCGAGATGTCTATTTTTCTGATTGATTTCAAAAAATAATGAACAAACATTTTTTTGGTCAATATACTTGATTTTTCATGTATCATTTCCTTGTTCAGGCTGCCATTGCTGAAAAGATAATTTTTTTTCGATTTTTACTCACAGAAATAGTTCTAACTGCAAAATTTAATCAGTCTAGAAAAATAAAATACAAATTATAACGTAGAGCTCTCCAATAACACCTTGCCTCTAAAAAATTAAATAACAATTGGTTCCCTCTTTAGCCAATACCTTCATAATTTTTTTTGGACACTCGATGTATTAAGTTAATTTTTTGAAACACTCGATGTATTAAGCTGATTTATTTTCTGCAAAGGTATTTAAACAGATAACGTTTATTTAAAAAAAAAATTTATTTTCCATCACTTCTACTAAGGTGTCTAGAACTCTCTCCTTACATTGTATAAGTAATAAATGTATTATTGCATTGAAAACAGTGTATTTGTGTATATAGTGTGAAGGTCATCAGTATTATTATATATTTAGTAGCTTTAATATATCTATCTATCTATATATCTATCTATCTCTATCTATCTATCTATCTATCTATCTTCCCATCTAACTATATATCCATCTATCTATCAATCTTTCTATCTATTTATTTATCTTTCTATCCATCTATTTATCTATCTCTTTATCTATCTATCTATCTATTTATTTATATTTATGAATTTTTAGACAAAACTACGGATAAATATATTGATAGATACATATCACATGTATACTAGATAAATACATATCACATGTATACTAAATAGAAAATATCTTTAAAAGTAAATATAAGCATATAACATGCTTTTATGGTTTGCAATTAACATGTTTTTATGGTTTGCAATTAACATGTATTTATGGATTGCAATTAACATGTTTTTATGGTTTGCAATTAACATGTATTTATGGTTTGAAATTAACATGTATTTATGGTTTGCAATTAACATGTATTTATGGTTTGCAATTAACATGTATTTATGTTTGGGTCAAAAAAATATTCAATTTAAGGAACTAATTTTAAAAACTTGATTGATCCTTGTAAAGAGACCCATAAACAATTCACAATGATTTTATTTTTATCTTGAGTTTTCTTGTTCTTCTGTTGTGTCACAGTTCGCATGTTTTTATGAGTCCTTATTCGCTATCATCTAATTGCTAGGCAGAGATCATAAGCTTTCTTTTACATTATATATTTTTGTTTAACGTTATTTTGCAAATTTTAAACGAAAATTTGTAAAAACAAATATCTTGTTAAATTCAGATTAACGGAAGAATAAGGACTTCAGATTAAAAGAGAGGAATGATTGGGAATTTTCATGCATTCCTTGAGAACCTGCGTACAGAGATTCAGGTAGCTATAAAATAATGCA